GAATCGTTGAGACAGAATCGTTACGACATCAATGGGTTCTCTGCATCTTCTATTTTCTATCTGCCCTTTCGCCCTCCCTTCCCCTCCCCACGTACAAAACAAAGATCTGGTCGGCTTGCTGACAAGTATTATTATTAACAGAGTTTCAACTAGCCGTAGCGTATTGTAACGTGAAGGGTATTTTCTCTTGCGAAATACTATTTATTAACAGTTTTATCACCGATGAAGGAGACAGGTTCTACGTAACAGAGACTAAATAATGTAACATTCAGAATAAAACCCAATGAAGCAAATACGTTTGATAAGTTCCTTTCTTAGCTGGTGCATATTCGCTCACGTTTAAACCAATCGTGTTCAAGCAAAATTATATGATGGATTAACTATCTGAACGGATCTTGGACATCACTGTCCGCCTGTTATCCTTTTTTTCGAGAGGTAACAATCATAGTCACGTCATTTGCAGCCTGGAGACGAAAGATTCCGGTAGCCCAGCTAAAGATAATACGGTTCTTCACAGCAGTGTCAGTACGCTTTCCCCTATTCTCTCCCAGATCAGAACATGTGGACCGCTATGTAAAGAAATACTGCAAAGTAGTAGAATGATTATAGATTTATTCTTCAGTTTAAACTTATCTTACGTTTGTTCATAGAAGCCAAATGTTCATATTTTTTCTTAATTAAGGTCGACATACTTCGAAGATGATACTGATCGTATAAAAAGTCATAATTGTTGATCACGCCCTTCAAACTGCCATACTCCTAGCCTCGGTCGGATGATGAAGTAGAATTATTGCGTCTCACTATGAGCCACACGTTGGTAAGTATTCCTTCGCTCTTTGCTTCGCACTAATTAAACGGAACAAAAGAGCAAGGACTAGAACCAACTTGCCACCGTGATACTGGAACATGTAACCATTGGACCTTACCACGTAGTTTCTACTGTAGCACTGTATCATTCTGTGTGAGTCCTAGGAGTCTTATTCCTCTTTGTCTATATCTTCCTGCGTAGTAGGTGATGCCCATGGCTGGCGTTCTCCTAAACAAGGCTGTGTGTAGAAAATTACGGCGTTAACATAACAAGTGTGTTCCAGAACACTATCCTCCAATCTTCTTGTATCTAAATGAGAAAAACAATTACAGCCTTTAAGCTTGCGGAATGGACTACCACTGTAAACAGTCGAATGTACAGGGCAGAAAAAGTGCAGATTCAGTTTCGAAACAAAGCATGCGTGGTTGGTTCCTTGAGGTCCCTCTTATACATGTCTACTTACTGGGTTATAAATCCAGGAGCTGATGCAAAGGGTGGGGCAATGTCCAAATGATCGACAGCGTAACCAATAGCATTTAAACCAGAAAATTCAACACCCAACACCAGGAATATAACACTTGTTCTCCTTAGCCAAATATAGCCTGTTGCCACTATAAATATTCCAGCTAATAAACCTATGGACAGAATCGGAGAAGATTCATCTTTAAGTGAATCTTGAAGTCAAAATTTCATCCACTATCAAGTGAGGTTTACGCATGGCCCGCATACATCTCTCCACATACGCTCAGACTATAAGTTTTGAAAATTTGAAAAGTTTGTTTTGACTTAAATGGAACGCCATAGATTGGCGCGCGCGAAATACCACAAAAACGATTCTACAATAAAAAAAACTTTTCATTTATTTTCTCAAGTCAGAACAAGAAACTCACAATTCATCGAAAACATTACTTATTTTCTCTTTTTTTTTTTTCACTGTTATCACTTTTTTTTTTGCGACAAATGCGAAGAATGTTGGTTTGTTTTTTTGTGCAATAAAGGCGTACAAGAGAACCAGAGCCGGATAGCTTTTTCTCGACCGGCTCATGTCAACCCGTCCAGCCCTGCACACGTCAGCTTTTGGTACACTTTTCTATGGGATTGTGCGAGCGGGGCCAGACGGGTCATATGATAATTTTACTAATCCCTGCGACAAAGACGATCATATGCGAGCCTTAACAGAATCATAGTTTATGCTAATGGCCTTAGCGATTGCTAACTACTTACAGATATACAAATGTAAGTATTACCTGCCCCGTAGAAAGCTTTTCATGTCTTAGTCTTGCCTAATTTCTATGAGAATTTACTTTAAGGAGATGCGGACAAAAAGGGTTAGTTGTAAGGCTCATTTTTCCAGCGTCTCGAGTTGGCCCGCCTGACCAAGACCAACAATGTGGCAATTAGAGAAAAAAAAAAGCAAATTTAAAAACTGCCAGGGAGCTGGATTAAATCAAAGTCATCAACAATAGATAGTTCTCATTTGACTTTAATCGATGGGTTTTAAGGATCTTAATCACAAAATAATGCCCTCAAAAACAAACATCTGACAGAGTAATGGTAGCAAATTTTAAAATGTCGACTATTTCAGCGATATTCCCTCGTCATAGATCTAACAGAGGGTAAATTAATGCTCAAGACTTCTTCTAAACTTTTCAAAACTCGCCACAGTTGCTTGCCTAACTCTAGAGAATCATAAGGAAAAATGCTTATTGTTTGACTTTGCCGCAGATGCCTGATCCAGTAAGGTGACAGTTTTGATGACAGTTTAATGACACAGTACAATATTACAAGAAATATGCTCTGCCTGCAGTCAGCAAAGGCTTGTCAAGGCGGGCAGTGTTTAATACATATATTAAAAAATATGAAATAAAAAAGATTTACAGAGAAGAGATTCAAAATTCTAGACAAATTACACCTCAGGGAAGGAAACTTTCTTTTCAATTCACTTGTCCCTTTGGACAAGTGTAGTGTGTATTTTACTTGTCCGGACCACAAAACTACTTGTCCCAAAAAATCGGCAACATCGATTTAGGGTTTCAAAATCCTTTTTTATCAGTTCAACAATGCACCAGTTAAGTGGAAATCAATGGCGACGCTGAGCGAAGAAATCAAATACACAACTTGCACAAACAGAAAAGAAAGTTTATTTCTTAGGCTCTTAGTTGTAAAATATGGGAAAAAATGATTTATTATTTATCCAAAGTCAGGCAACGTTAGAGCTCTACAACTTAGGCCTAGTTTATACGTCGCTTCAGTGGAATTTAATTCAGATCAATTTAATTCCATTAAATTCGTCGTTCCTTCGACGTAAACCGTGGCGTGGTTTTATGCGTCGAAATCAATACGATCGAATTTAATTCTCTTCCCAAATGCAGTGCCTCGGGTCGCTGCGGGCTCGCCAAAATAAATTGAAATACATTAAGAAAATGTATGCATTTCATTCGACGCGGCGCTAGTGGGACGTTAAAACTGAAGACGCGTTATCGCTATTTTATCCGTCTTACCAAGACGGATAAAACGTCAAGGACGAATTTAATTTACCAGACGAATTTAATTCGTTTTAGACGTCGCGCTATCGTCAAATTTAATTGCTTGTGGGACCTTGAATTAAATTCGACTGTAGCGCGACGTATAAGCTAGGCCTTACTTGTCCAATCGCACAACTTCGCCCAAAATGCACAAGTACTTTGCTGAAAACAATACCATTAATACTCAGTGTAACAGTATAAGACTGCTGGTTTAATTAATAGTACGAGCATATACAACTTTGTAAGGGGTTTTAGGAGGGCTTATAAATAAAGGGCCTTACAAACACAATGTATATATCTAAGGGAGCTTAAATTTACCAGTACAGAAACACTTTGATACAAGCTGTGGCAGCACTCATCAAAATATGTTTTACATTTGAGAAATTGAATTCATCTTATTACATTTGGAACAGAATTCAAATAAAGCTTAACAACTTGAACAAAGTAAGCTGGAATGTAACAAAAAAGGAGTTCAGACTTTTAGCTTGAGGCTTCCAGCTTTGTTATAATTAAAACAAGAAAAACCATACAATTTTATCTCAGCCAGTAAGAAGTACATCATTATGAAACAACAACATTGACCACGCTTTGTAATGGCAATTATGATCTTCCTGGACAATTAGATGCTACAAATGCTGTATTTTAACTGATGCAAATAACGATCTCTTTTTTTTAAATGGCCAGAGCAGCAGCTGCTTGTGAACCACTTGACGTGGTGATTGCGAGTTGTTGGTTTGTGGCAAGATTACTGAGTTTATTTAGAAAATGGCCATTTCTTACCTTTTGATTGTGTTTTTTATTTTCTTGAGATCTCAAGACACAATAATAACGTTCAAAAGATATATTTTTAAAAAGCGAAGACAGATACGACTCAGTTTTACTTCCTTTAAAAAGAATAGATAGCATTCTTGTCTTCTGACTGCTGTCATCAAACTATTTGATTCCGAGAACACCTTCGCGACATAGAAAGGAATGACAAGGACACATCAAAACCAGTCGCCAGACACTTCATCTACCTATAATCATTCTAAGCAGTGTCAATGAACGCTGTTCATTTCTACTGATTCATTCTTCTTTTTCTCGTCACCCGGTTCCCACCCAACGTTTAAGCTCCACTTTCTGCATATAAACACACACAACACACGATTCTCCCATTCACTCTCAGAGGAAGGGCTAACGCTCCAAACGTCAGCTTTTTAACTCTTTTATGATGGTGGCCAATTTACAATTTCAACTTAGTTGATAAAACCAAATTACCATGTTACCCCAACCGACGCAGCACCACAGTTTCTTTAGAAACTTACTCCTTTTATTCCTTAATTTTCACATTTAGAAAACGGAGGAGATTTAAGTATGTTAAAGTCGTACATGTTTTTACTCAGAGTGTTTGGAAGGTGTATTTAGTAAGCTCAAATAACAAATTGTAGAGGAAGCATGATCATTTTTTGCTCAGGTTGACCGAGGACAATAATAAACAGAACACTTAACTGTCCGAGATAAACACAGGTGCATGATGTTGTCATTAGTAAGCTTGGAAAGAAATTAGTGAAGGACCCAATTTTGTTTATTAATTCAGTTGCAGCCTAAGCATACATGCGAGTCATTAAGTTAGTTGTTAAACACACGTCATGGTTTTTTTAATTGTTGTTTAACTGCAGCTAGAACTGAAAATCGTTTCTACAGCTGACTACATGTATACTCTTTCATCAACAATTCACCAGACACTTTATCTACCTATAATCATTCTAAGCAGTGTCAATGAACGCTGTTCATTTCTACTAATTCATTCTTCTTTTTCTCGTCACCCGGTTCCCACCCAGCGTTTAAGCTCCACTTTCTGCATATAAACACACACAACACACGATTCTCCCATTCGCTCTAAGGAAGGGCTAACGCTCCAAACGTCAGCTGTTTAACTCTTTTACGGTGGTGGCCAATTTACAATTTCAACTTAGTTGATAAAACCAAATTACCATGTTACACCAACCGACGCAGCACCACAGTTTCTTTGGAAACTTACCCCTTTTATTCCTTAATTTTGACATTTAGAAAACGGAGGAAGTTGACCGACTTAGCATCACCTAGATAATTATAGACTGAAATAAGCAGTCTATTCTCATTTGCGTAAAGGCCGCCGCACGTCGAATTAGTAAATCGGATAACTCCGCACTCTCGTGACTGAAATGCTATTGGCCGTAGAAGTCCTCAGAGAAATTCCCAAGACCTTTTATACGCTTTTGCAAGCATAACTTTTCTCTCCTCGCACGTCTACTGACGCCACGGTCACAAGAACCTACTGATTCGCTGAGATTTGGAAGAAAGCATAGCTTTCTTTGCTGTTGCTTGTGTATAGAGTCAACCTGTCTCTATGTCTTCGATAAGAACTCCTAATTGGAAAGTCTACAGAAGGAGCGTCAGTCCCGCGATATTCTTTGGTGCCTAATAAGTTGGAAACCATGCTTTATTGTGCAAGGTGACTTCACTCACTTTAAAGCAGCTGATCTTTCACATTTCCTGAAATAACAGGAAATTCATTTTATTTCTGAGACGAGTCTTTGATCAAAGGCATTGTGGAAGAGCTTTCTTAGCCTAAAGCTGGAAACGTTCACTACAAAGGAAATAGCCTTACCCAGTTGATGATAATATCATTATATCAGATTGATCTCCTGCATGTTGATTGGTTATAACTAGTGACCTATTACAGGACTGAGGCGTAGATGACGTCGCCACAAACAACAACTGGCTTTTCAGTACAGACTGAAAAAACAGGTTCCACTTTAGCTCGTGTCTGTTAAGTAATATTTCAAAAACGAGTGCGAGTGTTTCATCGGGGTTTCCAAACACGAGAAAACGGATGAAAGCACGAGGCCGTAGGCCTCGTGCTTTGAAACACGAAGCACGAGTTTTTGAAATTGCTTCTCAATCGTGCATTATTAGCCAAGAACAATGAAACTCTTCTGACTGATTTTGGCATCTCACGGGGAATTGGGGTTTGACATTTTATCAAGCTCTAGGGTTTGATATTTCATCAAAGTATAGTGGAAAAGCCTCTGTTCAGTGTTTAATTAGGGTTTCTAAATGCACACATGTGGCCAAATTTGCGTAGTGTAATTGGTTTGTAACTTGATGAGTTATTAATAACCTTGAGAAGTAAGAGATCATAGTAGAAGGCAAAATGCAATAAGAATACCGGTTACTCATTCGGTGGCGCAACTTCTACATTATGACGTCATGTGTGATCTGGCAAATGCATGGCCACATGGAATATATTTGTTGATGTCACACAAATTTGGCTGAATGAAATGCATCAACAATAGAGGTGGAAAGCTACGCTTTCCTGCAATCGTTTTGCTCATTGCTGTTTATGTTAAGTCGGGGATTAAC